GGACAGCTACAAGTAACAGGTATAGCCTAAAAGGTAGATCAACTGAAGGTTTTTAGTTTGAATCCAGTTTCAGAGGCTAAATGAAAAAGAAAACTTGTGTTTCTTAACGTTGGAATGGGTGGTCACAGGTTGGTGTGACAGCAGAGGATGCTGGGTAGAGAGTGAGATAGAGGCAGATGATCTGTTGTTAAAATCCCTAAAAGAGGGAGCAGCCAAAAAAAAAGAAGGCGACCATTAAACTGGGATGAGGAATACATATTTTACAAGTGCAAATAGTGTACTCTGTAGTGCTGTTTGTTTGCTGGAACTCATAGGTGCCAACAGAGAGACATTTATCTTTAAACAAATATTAAGGATTCTGTGCTGCTGCTTCAGGGCTGCACCAAAACACACAAAGGAACACATGACAGAATCATCAACTTGTTAAATTAGCAGCACCAGAAATAGTTACATTTAAGCGGTTTTACCTTAAAATGTTACCCTTGTTGTTCTGAAGGTAATGCCTGTGAACTCACATCACTGGCACATCCAAACATATTTTGAGGGCGCGCTGGGAGACTCTTTTTCTAGACTAAAAATTGGTACACTACCTGACTGTGGTAGAAGTGGTAGAACTTACAGATTTAAATGTCTAGTAGCAAATTCAGTGATTTCAAAGACATGGATATATTTTTTCATGACGTTATTACATTTATCACTTGCATTTGCATACCACGCAAGAAACTAAAGCACAATCCTAAAACTTTTCTCAGGTTATGTAAAAACCTGAGAACATCCCTGAAGCTTCTACAAAACTAACCTTCAGATAACAGAAACATCCCAGCAAACAGCAGCCTGAAGGTTCCTGTTTCTGTTTACTGACATTTGAACTTTGAGTGAATCAGTCTGTTGTTACGCTTTCTCGACAGTAAGCATGATAAAATGAATGAATGCGAAACGTATAATGCACTGGCTCTTCATCTAACCTGTTGCTTCTTCTGTTTTTGGGTTTTTCTTTACACAGGTTTATCATGTGGAGCTTGTTTGGACTGCGTAAGGACTCAAAGAAGTCAACCTCAGACAAGGAAGTAGATGGAGGATTTGTTCTTGTTGGTAAGGAACATGTTAAAATGAAGCTATATATAAAGCTGAAGTTTACAAGTAGCATGACCCATTGTGTGTAATTTTTAAGAGTTTTTCTTAGTGATGTACGGTTATCTGCACATTCACATGCAGTATGCACCTCTGACAGGAAGCACTGTAATGTTAAAATGAGCTCACAACTCCAGAATGTGGTTGGAGTTGTGTGTTTTGTTCCTTTCAACCATCCTCATACCCTGTAGCATGTACTGCATGACAAAAGACCAGTGCTCTTATGTAGAGCCTACACACAGTTTTACTGACTGGTGTCTCAAACCTAAACGAGCTGTGAGCCTCTGCTGGCGCTGTCACCTGTTGTGAGGGCGACTGTTCAAGCGGTACAAAAAACAAACAAACAAGAAAACACCCACAAATATTTCCAAAAATGTTTTGTTTGTTTTTTAAAATTTTAAATATTGTATAACAAGACAAAACTGCAAATGTGAACGCACATTTTTTTCTCACTCTTAACTAACTGAAGCTTTTAATTAAACTACCAAATAAACACACTGGTCTTTCTGACACGTGGCAGCACTTCTGCTATAACTGTGTTCGTATTTAACAAAATAAAAATGCAAACATAAGTGTGCACATTAGTTTTTGACTCTCTCACTGAACGAACACAGCATGTTTGTACTCTCTACTCATAAAGCCTTCATATTAAATAATGTTTTGCTTTTTAAAGAACCTATTTTAACATTGCATTTAACAACAAGCAAATCCTCCCTAGCAAAAAAAAAAGTCACTTCAAGGGCCAAACTGCATTAAATTTCTTCATGTCAGTATACAAGTAGGGATGATGTGGGCCGCATGTGGCCCCCGGGCTGTGAGTTTGAGACCCCTGTTGTAGCCGTTTACTGTCACCAGTGAACAGTGTTACAAAGAGCTGCAGGATACCCTCCCGTGTGCTATTGTTCTTTCAGCCGCCTGCAGAGAAGACTGAAGTTATAATATAAAAAAATCTGTCTCTACATCTCATTCTGGTTTTTAAACATTTTGGCTCTTTTTTTCCAAACTTCTGTACGTGATGCTGAACACATCTTGAGGCACTGTGTGTCTCGTCTACGCAAAAGTGGACCAACAGAATTACCATT